CGTAAAACCTTTGCTGAGCACAGTATACAGGATTATTTCTCCAGCTTTAAGCTGTTCTGGTCTTGCCTCGTCTTTACTTGTCGTCTTTATTGTTTCTGATTTTCTACTAAACTTTGTCTTAAGTGACTCAGAACAGATTCTATGGCAACGTGTGAAAACTTCCGATTCAAGTCTACTTCAGAAGAGTACTGGTTGTTGTCGCACTGCGTGCAGTTCGCGTTCATTTGATTGCGATTAGTAATCTTTTACTCCATTGTCTTTCGGCGCACTCAAAATCTGCTGTTTTAAACGAATATCTCGTTCCACCATTTGCAAGCTGTGTGTCTGCTCAGCAGTCTCTCTTAGACGTATTTACTTGTAACCGACGTAATCCTCCCCCCTTCACCCGTCTCTTGTTGCACAATGCACTGTACTTGTTGTCCGTTAAACCGACGGATTTCAGTTGGGCTCTTCTCTTCTATCTATCAACTATATTTATGAAAGGATAGTGCGTTGGTTTCTGGTTGACTTCGGCTTCGTCTTCTAAGGGTAGTCTTGATGGCATTGGCAACCTGGTCATAATCAGTAATGAAGCTCCCGCTGGCATTCATTTCAATGCTCATTAGAGGCAGCTTCTCGGCGAATGCCTTCCGATCTAACCGCAGTACTTCTCGATGTAGTAATAGATCGGTTATTTTGCAACATCGATCGTTAACTGTGGAGTATAAATGCCTTATGGCTGACCCTGTAGACCACGCTTTCGCCTATGACCGACACTTCTGATATTATTCGTTTCTTGTCCGTCAGTGCATGATCAGCTTGGTTCGATTACTTTCACACCTGGGCTTCTGCTTGTCTATTCTCGCTTCTTTATTCTTTGTCTATTCTTGTTCTGGAAACAGCTGCTCATGACCGAAGATGATTTTTTTTATCGAATGTTTCAAATCAATCTTCACATTCATTATTACCTCCTTTTTCATATTTACCAATAACTGCCTCCGTGAAGCTCATTCCTTTCCCGAAGACTGTGTTAAAGTTTCGTTTGGCAATCCTAATCTTAATCTTCATCATTGCGCTTTCTAATTCCTCATAGAATTGCTTCTCAGCTTCTTCAGTTGCACTGCAATATTTTTGTTTTCGGCTTTCAATATTTTTATTGCTCTTTCCATCGTCTAATGTAGAAGTGGCATTATCCCGTGAGTTGACATAATATCAAATCTCATTCTAAATGGTTCAACCTTCCATTTTATTAGGAATCTAAGCTCCGCCGTTCCAAGCTTATCCTCGAAGGCTTACCTGTGAAAAATATGGACACTGTTTTTTTCACTGCGCAGCAAATTCAGTTGATTTTCAGGTCTCGCACATTCCAGTGACATCCGCCATGATCGTTTCCATTTTTGCCACGTAGGAAAATGTCTCTGTCGATAGGATTCTTGCATTACTGCTGATCAAGATCTGGATGACGTCCCGGGTCCGTTTCCCAATCACATCCTGCGGTTTACCCAGTCCTCCACCTATTTTCCCGGTTTCCGTGTATCTTTCAGCGTTTTTGGTAAGTAATTGTTTGGCAGTTTCATTCGATGTGCCAACCTTTATCAACTGTTGCAAACATCTTCCCAGTTTTCACTCGGTTCTTTGGTTTCAGAGGTTTCTTTGGATTCCTACTGAGATTTTTGCAGCGGAAAGATACTACTGGCGAGTGACGAGGGTCACTACCGGCTTAATCTTTCGTAACATGTCTAGACCCTCGCATAGCCGGTGGGAGCCCGATGATACCTGAAATATGACCATACGTTCTTCCACATAATTACGTCTGTGGAACACATGATTTCCATTCAACGGTTGTTTATTTAAGGAGTGGACATGTTCCGTGTAGCAGAGTGTAGAATTTCTTTGATGACAGAAATATTTACATGTTTTAAATTTAGACCACAATGGGGGCTGTAAAATTGAAAATCGGTCGACTGAAGGGAACCTCCCCTTCAAGCAAAGAGTTTCAGCAGCGCGGTGTTGCATCCTCAATGAATCAACAAAAAGTGGTGCCTCAAAGTGAGTCCTCTGATTCCAAAATTTCGCCACGCGTTAAAGAAAAGCACAAAAGATTCGGAAACCAACGACCGTTGTTAGGTATAATGCGTTGCACTTCCCCGAGAGCCAAAGATCGGTCGAAAGCCACAGCCATGCCTGATACCCAAAAACTCAGCAATTATGAGGCGGAAAGGAAGCCACATATGTCGTTTTTCCCTCGACACTCTACAGAGCCAAGTATGTGAGCTAATCACGTGATTGTTAATTTTCTATTAAAGTTTTCAGGCAAAAAGCCTTCATCAGAACACACAGGTCCACCTAATGACATCATTAACGTTGAATTGAATAAAACACCGGAAGAGCCATGGGGAATGGGAATCGGAAAACGAACCAAAGGCATATACATCACTTCGATAATGCCAAATTCCGCCGTCGTTGGAAAACTGCGTGTAAGTTCATTTTAAACAGCCTGCACAGTTTTATGATGGCTTGACCACCTCTTTCAAAATTATGGAATAAAGGAGTGGTCAAATTGTTTCCCTAAAGGGTGATGTATTTTTAACACATGCTTCGATAAGTAGAAACGCATGATGGATTCATAACTGAAGCTTGCACTTTGATCTATGAAAATTTTGCCAAACGCTTTGCATACGGCGATTAAGTTCATGACTGCTTCATTTTAAACTGAGCTTCAAAAAATGTTAGCCGTTCTGTTTCCCATAAATCGCACGTTAAGTATGGACTTATTCAATCTTTAAATGGCCCATACCAACTTTGATTCAAAATATCTTTGCTTATATTGTTGCTTTTTTAAAGTAGTTCTTATCTTATGTAACATACTTTCTCACTGAAGTTAAATTTGATACTCGCGTCTAAGAAGGATAAGAAATTACGAAAAATTAATGCAGCTGGATGCTATAAGAAAATTCTAATCATCAAACGGCAGCCTGTAATGAGCATCTCTCTTTACATTGTAGCAGTCTACCACGGGGTCCGCTGCGATGAGGATCTTTTCCTGCGGCAGCTTGAAGCTGAAGAAGCACTATCTTGTGGTTTATAGTATTATCCAGAAGAGAAGGACGCAGCAAGCACCAATATCCCACTTGCAAACGTCAATCACGAATGCAGTATCAACCTGGAGAATTTATTCAACCGCAACTCCTGGCTGACCTTTTCATATTGTTTATCGCTTGACATGGTTGGTTCGCCTACTCCTATAACCCTACAAAAGTGTTCAGCCCACGTCGCAGTAGTGATCTACCCATAGCATTCCTCTTGTATTAATATGTCATGTCCGCAGACACTAAACGCTTGCATGCGATAATCTTAAGGTAAACCCTTTGTCTCTCAATGTCACGTGGTGGCATGTTTAGATGCAGTGACTAATCGAAGGCCGCTGATCAGAACATTGCTTTCAGGAAGACTTTTCTGGCAGGTTACACCTGTAAAACCAGCCGTTAAGTGCAGTTAAGTTCGTGTTCATAGGAGTTTGTTAACGATCCCTGGGATTTTCCAAGTTAGCTGAACAAAGTTCTCTATTGTTATTAAAAATTAGCCTTTATCTGTTCCGCTTCTCGCACAAAAATAATCAAAGGACGTAAGAACGACAAAGGGGTGAAAATCAGAATTTTATACCTTGATGCCATCGTTCTCCTGCTTATCCTGGAAAAGCCGTAAATAAGATTGAAAAACATTGAATATCTGAGAGAAAGTATATTTTTCTTATTATGGCAAAGCCTTCCCGTATGTGTCAAATAGAAACGTTTTTGTATCTGGTGGAACAGATCCACATAGTCAGAAGTCGTGCTTGCTTATAGAGGAGTATCTTGAGCGAAATGACCTATAAGACACACTTCGTTCCCGTGTCGTGCAACCTCGGTTAGAAATGCATAACTATGTGGAAAATGCAACGCCAGAAGTTTATTTACTCTTATTGATTTTATACCTGTATGCACTTGTGCTTAAAGAAAAGGTCTACAATTTTGTAGGTCGGTGATCAAGTGTTGGCCGTAAACGGAATCAGCGTTATCGATCAAGCATCCACGGTCAGTGCCATAAAAGCTTCCGGCTCTTCTCTTCTTCTACAGATATACAGGATTCGAAACAGATAAGAACATTGGAAGTGCTCCGCGTCTCAGCCGTTTGTTCCTACTATGTTGTTTATGGAAATTCAACAGGAAATCGGGTCTTCTCCAGAGCATATTCAGATGTTGATCCAGAATTGCTTTCCTGATTGTTTGGATTCTTTTTGTCAAGGGAGAGCTGAAACAAACATTCTCCCCTTTCTCTTTGGCTGTGGCAGTTTTGATGGCTCTTACGCAACCGAACCGAAGTCGTGCCCATGTATATAGTTGCTCACAAGTTTGCCCTTGATTTAAAAGGGCTACTGGGATTGACGATACAGACCGTTTGATGTCACTACGTCATATCACTTTTATAATATTGTATTTGAGGATTCTTTTAACAATTAAAATTTTAACAAAATCATATTTTTCAGATCTTTTGTTAAGGAGATCAGTTGTTCGACCTGTAGCTGTATCGGTCAAGCACCGCAATTTATACACGCGTACGTTGCAAAACCTGAAAGAGCAACTGCCGACCAGTTCCGGGCTATCAAGCTTTAACAAGCTGGAAATACTCTCAGGGCCTGCACATCAACATGGCACCGTAGGTCATTGCGTTGACTTTCTGGAACAAGATCTATCGCAACACTGGCAGGTATTTTTGAATTACCTGCTGAACATTGAATAATTCAGTGAACAAAAACTCCTGACTGGAAACATCCAAGACCTGGATAAGCCCTACTAACTGCTGTGAACTAAGAGGACGACGGGTTACAGAATCTCAACAAGTAAC